CACCCCCTTTAGTATCGGATGGTGGCTGCAACCGGTACTAAAGAGGGGGTCTTTAGTACCAGTTGGTGCTATGACCCGATACTAAAGGTTGGCGCTTCTCGCCGCTTGGCCTAGCCAAAACAGAGCTTTAGTACCAGTTGGTAGTACCAACCGGTACTAAAGGTCCATCCTATATATAACAGTTGAAAAAATTTCACTTCCCTCTCTGTTTCTTCCCTCCGTCGCGCCGCCCTGCCCCGATCAACATCGTCCCCATCGACGTCACCGACCCCGCCCCTCGTCGCCGACGCCGTCCCCTGAGTCACACACTGTCTTGTCATACAAATTCTGTTTTTGCTTAATACCTAGCTTGATGTTAATAATTAAGTGTATACGGTTTACGATAGTTGATTAATTTTATGCACATGCCCGCTTAATTAAGACATGCAAACGTGTGCGCATGCAGTTTCCACTGGATCTGGTTAGACATTAAAGTTGACCAAGCAACAGTTGAAGTACTGGACTCACTACTTAAAGAAGATAAAGACTACAACATCATGAAGGGGATAGTCAACAGGTAATTTCAATCATTATTAACTATATCTCGGCCTATTATTAGTTCGTCATTTCCTAATATGAACTATTTAATAACCCCTTTATTAATTTTCTTTGCCGACGGGCAGAGCTTGGGCAAAGTTCATCAAGGTGACTCCAGGCAAATGGCCAAAAAAGTTGTTTTGGCATCGACCAAAGGTAAGTAATTAAGTAGTACTATCTATCTAGCTAGCTACCATCTCTTTAATTCTTGTTTCAATTAATTATCATGCTTGATTAATCATTATCTGATTCAATTCCATTCTCGTAAAGGCCCTGAGGCAGACGCCGGGGAATGATCTGTGTGCATTCTACGTTTTCAAGAACATTCGCATGATAGCGTCCGAAAGGAGCAGATCTCAAAGATAGGACTGAGTATATTTGTTAGAACACTATTCACACCATTATCGATATCTTGTCACACAACTAATACACATGCATATTGATCTCCTTCTTAACAGTTCAGAGAGGTGCGGGATAAGCTCCTACCAGCGGACCGCATACTAGCACTTCAAGAGGAAATAGCCGGATTTTTGCTCGACCATGTCATAGATCCCAAAGGAGAATACTATTACCCACTACCGCCCCCATGAACCACTTGTCATCGTGCTCCGAAGGCACCAAGGCAACATGTAGGAGAAATTGTATATGTATATACATGTGTATGTGTGAATAGTTAATGGTGTTGGCTGTGAGACATTCGATGATATATATTATATATTTATATGCGGTTCTACGTACGAGAAAATCTATTTATATATATGCATAATGTGTACAATTTGTAGTATCATAAAATACCAGCAAACAAAAAAGAAATAAATGGAAAATAAAGCCAAATTGAAAACACAAAATTAAAGCAAAAATTAAAAAAAAAAACACCCAAACATTTAGTACCGGTTGGTGTTACCAACCGGTACTAATGTCCTACACGCACCCGGGCCTGGCTCGTGCCACGTGTTTGCCCTTTAGCACCGGTTCGTGACGAACCGGTACTAAAGGGGGACCTTTAGTCCCCACTCTTTAGTGCCGGTTCGCCAACCGGCACTAAAGGCCGGTTCAGCACTAGTGAGCACTTGTAGCTATAGTAGCTACCTGTTGCTACAACTACAGATAGGTTCGGGTCTACTGTTGTTCGGTGTGCTTGAGTCAGTGTCTTGCTGCATGCTGTGTAGTGGTTGCTTCGAACTATTACACATGAACTCTGCTATCATTTGCTGTAATAAAGCTATGTTTTATGGTGTGTAGTTCTTTTGTAGTCGCCATTTGCCTTTACTTCGGCTTAAACTTTGTCCATGTATTAATGTAAGGGTTGTCTCTAGTGGATTTCAGTGCCAATGCATGCATTCCAGTTTTCTGTATAACTCTTCTGCTGCTCTTCCTGAGTAGCGTTGACCTGTTTCTGTGTTGTTGAAAGTGACATGACACCACAGGCACACATCAAGTCAAACAAACCATATTCTGCATAGCATGCGAAACTAAGAAGTGCATACGCAGCTGATCAGCTTGACACGCTTGCAGCAATCATCTTTTTTTTGA